CGGTGCGTTGTTTTCCTTGGCGGCCACTATCGACCTGTTTGAGCCAGGCTGGAACAAGGGTGGTGGAGCTTCCGGGGGGCTTTGATCCCCAGGCCTAGAAGGCTGGTTAAGGACCTGAAGGTCCTAGCTGCTCCTGGCGTCGGATGGGCAGAGCAGTGGGCTGGGAGAGGCGGGAAGAAGATTGGACACCGGCGACACTGACGCCTAGGCGACGGGCAGCCCGAGGCCAAGAGACGGGAGAGAGAAGATGGGAAGGAAGGCAAGCGGGAAGCGGCGATGGGGGAGAAGGAGATTAGCTGGAGACTTTCTTTAAGGACCATATCTTTTACATACACATACACTTTAAAACAAAGTCGGTGAGACAAGACTGAACAGCTCGGAAAAGCAAAGTTACGTAAAGACGGCTGGGACAGGGCCGGGATGGGTGGGGAGCCTGCGGCGGGGTGCACTCGGCCGTCACCCGGCCTCTCAGCGCCTCCATGGCCGCTGCCTGGGCGCAGATGTCTGGAGGGGCCCTCTCTGCAAGCCCCTTGTCTAGACCGCGGTGGCAAGGAGGGGACTCCTGGAGAGGTAAGGATGGTGAAGAGCATCAGGTTTGAGGGTCCCTGGGTAAAGATTCCTAGGACCCCACATCGAGGGCAGTGCTGGTTCTCCCCGTACAGCAACGCGCATTCCGGTGAGACACTTCCCAGTCTGGCAATGGAAGTGCAGACGAGCCTAAGTAAGGGTCCCAAAGGATTTCAGCTCTCCAGCTCCCCCCTCAACTACACATATTATGGGGGATGGGAAAAGTGGCATTACGGTGCCTCAGGACTTCCCATTCAGCACAGTCAAGCCTCACAGAGCTTCAAACCCCGATCTGGCCGTAGTACTCAGGGAGGCAGACGCCTTAAGAAGCAGCCCATGATTTTCTGAACCTAACGGGTGGTGGGGAGGTGTGGGTGCAGGGGGCCGAGTCTGGCAACTGATGGTGATCCAAAGTTGAAGACAAGCCTCCCCGCAAACGTGCACACCCCTCTCTAGGATACCTATCCGACGGTTTGCCTGGAATTATAATAATTACGCCGAGGGGAAGGGGGTGGGGAGAGACGGAGCAAGTTGGAGTATATTTAATCCGATCATTTTTTCTCTTTGTCGAGATAGTTCGGGAGCAGGGCCTTCCAGGAGGGAGACGCGGGGGCTGTCCGCAGTAAGATAGCGAGGGCAGGCGGAGTGGGAGGGCCTGGCTGACGGTCAAAGGGCCTCGGAGAAGCCGTCGGGCAGCGAGGACGAGCTGCGAGGTCCCTCGTCGGCCCCTGGCCCAGCGCATTCTGCGCGAGATGTCGCAGCCACGCGCCGCCGCTGCGCGACACCTGAGCGCCGGGGTTACTGCCCCCCAACCCGAGCGCAGGCTGCGGCTGCTGTGCTGCCTGGCACTGGGACACTCACGCCCGCCCCGCCAGCTTCAAGTACAGAACAAGAAGGGAGCGCATCCGAGAGCCCTGTGAGCCAGCCTCGCTTTCCCAGCCCAGGCTTCTAATTAGAGCCCGCCGCCGCATTCCAGGGCCCACAAGGAAGCGCCTTCGCCCCCACAATCCTCCTATAAAGAAGGGCCCTGTCACCAGCCAGGATGCCCCACACTTGGGGGTACCGTCTGCCCTGAGGGTCCCTGGTCTTGCACGTGTGTGCGCGCGCGCACACACACACACACACACACACCACAGCCATATAAAACACGCTTTTCATCTGCGCCAAATTTGTTACATCTGAATGCCCCCCCCCCAGATATGCATTTTCCAGGTGAGATGGGTGGGGTCAGGAGAAGAGTAGAGTCCCCTTAGTGTTCTTCATCCCAATCCTCTCAGCAACCCCAGCCCTCTTACAGAGAATGGAGGGAAGGGAGTTGTGCTAAACTGCATCTAATTCTGACACTGACGGGGTGAAGCGAGCACCGTTCCTCTACCCACACTTCGCTCTCTCGGTAAGATTCTGACCCTCCCTGTACTCAGCTTCCTGAGAAGAGGATTGCTGGCTGGACACTGTCTCTCTCCCTGGGGACAAGACTTATTCAGCCCCTCAGACCTCTTTTCTCTTCCCTCTCCCCAGACAAGCCAGACATGGAAAAGATATGCTTTCCCAACAACAGCAACACACACACAAAAGCAGAATAGAGAGAAAGACTCACAAGGAAAAAATCAGAGAGACAGGCAGTGTTGAAGAATCAGAGTATTAAAATCTGCAAAAATAGGTGGCATATAACATTATACAATTTAATAGCAGGGGCATTTTTTCTTTCATCATCTGCACCTTCTACCTGGAAAGAGAGCATTCCAAACTCCATCTCATCCTTTCTCCTGCCCCAGTTAATTTCATCATCCAACCCAAGACTTGTGGCAACAGCTGAAGGGGATGGGGGTGGGGGGACTCTGGTGGCCCGAAGAAGACCAAGGCAGGAAAAGAGACAGCTGGAGTGGCCCAGACCACAGGGCCCATTTCTTTATAACTTCTCACCTAGCCCTCAGCCTTCCTAATTGGTGGTTTTGTTTCACCTTCTCGCCCAAAAACAAAGCCACACGCCCCCTCAGTCTTTCTAAATGCTGTCCCAAGAGCCAGGCCAGTTGTAGCTGGGCCATTACTGTGGGACCAATCGCATATGAAAGTGAAACTGACCAGGAACTTCCTCACCTGGGGAAACAAAACAAGGAAACAGCCCAAATCAGGGGCAATTAGGCTTTTGAAGTTGGTGTGGCTCTTGGTGGGAGGGAGAGGGCAAGGAGAAGGTGTCACTGGCAGCAGTGTGGGAATTTGAATGGCCACTGCCTCCCCAGGATGAGATGCCGCAGGGTCCAAAGGCACAGATCCAGGCACAGCCCAATTCTATTACTGAGCAGAAGGATCTAGAGTGGAGAGACCTCTAGGTTTCTCCTGAGATGGTGGGGAGGCAACGGCCAGAGCAGGAGCTCCAGTACAGCCATGGCCACTCCAGTGCAGTGGGGATAGTAAATACATCCCAAAGACCATGCAGTGCAGGTCGCTTGTCTGTTGCTGTTACAGGGATTTGCGTGGATTCTGACTCACAGTGACCCCATGTGTGCAGAGTAGAACTACTCCATAGAATTTTTAAGGCTGTGACTTTTCAGAAGCAGATTGCCAGGCCTATCTTCTGAGACACCTTAAATGGGTTAGAACTGCCAACTTTTCAGTTAGTAGCCCAGCTTGTTGTTGTTGTTATGTGCCATCGAGTCAAACCTGACTCATAGCAACTCCTCCTTGAGTTTCCAAGGCAGTATCACTATGGAAATAGATTGCCCAGCCTTCCTTCCAAGGAGTGGCTGGTGGGTTTGAACCGACAGCCTCTGGTTAGCAGTCAATTGACTTAGGCTCTATGCTTCCAGAACACTTAGCTGTTTATATCACCCAGGGACTCCTCCTCTCCCCCTGGCCAAATTGAACTCTTGTTGAATTAAGACTAATGGGAAGAGTCTATATTAACACTGGGTGAGCGCTGGTGTTCAGAGAGGAAGGTGTGCCCCACTCCCTTCTTGTCAAAGGGAATAGTCAGAGCACAGTGCCAAGCATGGCCTGGGGAGCTAGACAATGTGCTTAAGTCTGAAAACCTACCTCTGAATCTCTATGTCTGGGTCACTGGCCTGTGCCCCAGACCCAGAGCCCCAGAGGCCAGCCCATCTTCTCTCCCCCAATCCAGCCAGCCCCCACTCCCCTCATCCCACACC